CACACACACACACACACACACACACACACACATGGCTTGGACGTCAACACGGGCCAAGTACTACCGGGGGCTCCGACAAGGATCTGACCACACGGAGGAGACGTTGCCGTCGAGGACTGGAACTCCCAGCGTTGGAGGCCATGCAGGGGGCACGTGCATTGGCGAGGACGATGTTCGGAAACCTTAGGCGAACAACCGGTCGTACGGACGCAGACCGTTTCCGTACGGTTTTTTTTTTTTTTTTCGAATGAAGTGTTAGGTTTTTCCGCCCTCGACAACCGTACGGACGCGAGGCCGGTAGGTCCAACGGACAGACCGAAAAACGGTCGTCGCTGAACCAGTACACCCCACGGCGGGCCCACGAAAAAGCAAAGCCGAAGGGCTCCCGAAGCTGCCCCGAACCGCAGAAAACCCGTAGCGTTAACGCTAAGGGCCCGCGGCCGATATATGGGCCAAGTACTGGTGGTTTAAGGGTATGCCCAACACCACATGAACTCTAGTCATAAAATATATGACCAGACCGCCCTAACTTAAGGGTACGTCTGACTTCTGCTTAACTAACGACATGAAGCATAAACTACACTGCCCTAACTTAAGGGTATGCCTAGCCATCTCATAGACAAAGTTACGTAGGGCATAGGATTAGGCTGCCCCAACTTAGGGGTGTGCCTAACCTGTCTAAAACAAGTACGAACGACGAATGGTCAGACTGCCCTAACTTAAGGGTACGTCCAACCTACATAACATCAACGACAAGAGCATATCACTAGGCCACCCTAACTTAAGGGTACGCCTAGCCAGCTTAAACAGGTTTAGGTACAAAAGACAATATGACCAGGCTGCCCTAACTTAAGGGTACGGCTTTGTGGAGCCGTTGGGATGCATCCTGCTGCGTACCCCGTACTCTGCCGTGTTTTCATTGTTGATTCTCACTATGTTGTGCACTAGCTGCGTACAGCCGTGGACTTAGGGGTGAGCAGGATCTGAAATGGGAACATTGTTGCGACTTGGAGGTCTGTCAACGTGAGGCTACTCTGCATTTTGACTGCGGAGCGACCGTCGCTGTTGCGTTTTGGCCATCATTGCGGGGCCCTCAGGCGAGTCCAGATTCCAAGGCCCTCTCCTGCGAGTCAGAGTGCCCCTCTCTTGGATCTGAGAGTCTGAAGTTTTTTCGCTGCCCCCAGTCTAAGTTTAGTCCTTTGGTTACGAGAGGAAGGCGGCAGGCGGGATTCCAACCCGTAGGTCCGCATCAAGACTTTGTGGGAGGTCCACCCATCGATTGCGGGAGCTCTGCAGGAGCCCAGGCGGGGTTCTGGAGGCAGGGAACGCTCAGGCATAATCTGGTCTGACGTGTGTGATCCCTTCCCCTAACCGTTATCCTTGGGTTATCTGAATAGTACTATGACAAGCTATTATTTTTTGTTTTATTATGTATGACAGGACATGCATTGTGAAAGGACTAAACGAACAAGTATATATGAGTGCTCAGATAATCCTTGAGAGAACTCAACCAGAATGAACTGGGGGAAGATGGGGTGAAGGTGTTTTGCATGCATTTTGATTGGGTCAACCCAAGGTTGAGCTCCTCTAAGTTTATGTGGGCTCAGTACTGTGTTTTATTTATGTTTGTTGGGCTGACTGTATGATATTTTGGGCTGGGCCAATCCTAAGTTGGACGGACCAATCGCTGTTTCTTTCTGGGTTTCTGAACAGGAGGATGGGTACCCTAAGTTGGGAATGCTCCGAATCCTGATGTTTCTTTTCTGGGTTGCTGAAAAACAGAACTGGGAATATTCTAAGTTGCGTAGACCCAGTTCTGTGTGTGTTTCTTCTGAGGGGGACAAAGGCATGAGGCTGAGCGTACCCTTAAGCTAGGGCGGCTCGGTCATAAGCCACGAACAAAATGGTCAACCAAAGTATAGAGATTAGATATGTAATATATGAACTTATATTCTGACAGACCGGGCACCCTAAGTTGGGAAAGCCAGTCAGTAAGTCAGGTAGAACAAAAAGAGAAGAGAAATAAGTGAAGAATATAATGAAGGTAACCCGGGCACGCTGAGCGTACCCTTAAGTTAGGGCGGTTCAGTCCTATGCTCGTAATAATGTAAAGGCGCAGAGAGTTAGTATGAACCTTCTTTTATTTTCCCTTCTAAACACAAGGCAGGATTGGATGTCTCCCTAAGTTGGGTAGGTCTGATCATCTGCCTAATAAGAGAGAAACTTTTAAAGTATGTGCAAGTATCAATGGTTGTTCCATTATATTGTTGTTACGGAGACTAAGCGTACCCTTAAGTTAGGGCGGTCTAGTCATACGTCGTTTGTACTTTGTTCAGGCATTCAAAGTGTACCCTTAAGTTAGGGCGGCCTGGTCATATTGTCTTACGTACCTAAACCTGTTTAAGCTGGCTAGGCGTACCCTTAAGTTAGGGCGGCCTAGTGATATGCTATTGTCGTTGATGTTATGTAAGTTTTCCCAGTCAGTAAGTCAGGTAGAACAAAAAGAGAAGAGAGATAAGTGAAGAATATAATGAAGGTAACCCGGGCAGGCTGAGCGTACCCTTAAGTTAGGGCGGTTCAGTCCTATGCTCGTAATAATGCAAAGGCGCAGAGAGTTAGTATAAACCTTCTTTTATTTTCCCTTCTAAACACAAGGCAGGATTGGATGTCTCCCTAAGTTGGGTAGGTCAAATCATCTGCCTGATAAGAGAGAAACATATAAAGTATGTGCAAGTATCAATGGTTGTTCCATTATATTGTTGTTACGCAGACTAAGCGTACCCTTAAGTTAGGGCGGCCTAGTCATACGTCGTTTGTATTTTGTTCAGGCAGATCAAGTGTACCCTTAAGTTAGGGCGGCCTGATCATATTGTCTTACGTACCTAAACCTATTTAAGCTGGCTTGGCGTACCCTTAAGTTAGGGCGGCCTAGTGATATGCTCTTGTCGTTGATGTTATGTAGGTTGGACTTACCCTTAAGTTGGGGCGGTCTGACCATTCGTCGTTCGTACTTGTTTTAAGCAGGTTAGGCACACCCCTAAGTTGGGGCAGCCTAATCCTATGCCCTAAGTGACTTTGACTATGAGCTGACTAGGCATACCCTTAAGTTAGGGCAGTCTAGTTTATGCTTCATTTCGTCAGTTAAGCAGAAGTCAGGCGTACCCTTAAGTAAGGGCGGTCTGGTCATATGTTTTATGACTAGAGTTCATGTAGTGTTGGGCATACCCTTAAGTTAAGGCGGTCCAGTCCAATTGTATGTAAATTTACTTGTTTACTTAGGCAGGTTTGACATACCCTTAAGTTAGGGCCTTGTCTGATCCTATGGCATACGAAAGAGGGTTACTAAAGGAAAAATAACTGAGTGAGCTAACGAACTACTTGGACCAAACTGATGTGGGATTGTGAGAGATGTTTGTTTATGCATGTTTGTGGGCTCTCACTCTGGGGCGTCTATTTCGGTAGGTTAGTTGCTTTAGACGCTCGCCAAATGTTGGAGCCATAGGTAGATGAGATGGATGATAGGAGGGGAAACTTGGGATGAAGATAGGACTGACCCTGCTAGGAGTTAGGATCAGGGCTAGCCACACTCTCATCTAGAGGTTGTGCGGGTTATTTTTTATTCTGAGTCATCAAGCAGGTGTCAGAAGATAGTCCCGAGTATAACCTGCTTTGTTATTTTGTCTTTCAGCTTTGTATAAATCTTGACAACCTCTTGTTCCTACGGGAAGCGCTGCTGAAATTTCGGTAAATCTGAAAGAGTTGGTCAGTTTTGGACTTTTGAAAATTCTGAAAAGACACTTTTCCTACGGGAAGCGCTACCGAAATTTCGTAGAATCTGAGGGGTTAGAATATTTTTCAGTTAAGGGCTACTTAGCAGATCTCTCCTGGATAGAGGAGGTGTTCAGTGACTCGGTAATAGTGAGGAGCGCTGAGAGTGAGAATAATAGAGGGGTTAGAACTACGACTTGAAGAGTATTCTCCTTTTGGCATGAATATAGTAGTGGTTCTTTTGGCCTGTACTGTGATGCAGTTTTCCGTATTTCGCTTGAAGGCTTGATCTGATCAGTCTGATCCTTCAAAAGGATCAATCTTCTGTTATCTCTGATAACAGGTCGGTTGCCGATTCGTCGGTTTACGACTCAACTTTAATATTTCTCCTGCCTCTCAACCTAAGGTTTTGGCCATTGCTAGAATTTGTGTGTTTCTTTGGGTTTTCACCTTGTTTCTTTATAAATGGTCATTTCTTATTTTTGTTGAGCACTGGTGGGGAAATGGTTGGGCTCGTGTGCTTGAGGCAGGGTGTGAGCTGCAGGAGGCTGAAAAGTTTACCCCTTTAATGCGTGTGATGTTGTTTGAATGCTGTGTATATGATTGCAGGTATTTGTGGGAGAGTCTCGATTGAGTCATAATGAGTGACTATGTTTTGGAGTCAGACGGGCAAACCATACAACTGTCGTGAAAGTGAACCACCCCACAACCTTTTGTTTGAGTGAGAGTGTTATTTTCTCATCCTGCTAATGTGATATTCCGAGTAAGCGTACGCTCGGGTGACCCTCATGGCGCTATACGACCGCACGCCTACGTTTTTCTCTACCTGCGGTTGTTTCCTCCTTTGAGTTTCCATGGTTGAACGTTGTAGTCTGTGGTAGCCGTCAAAGTCAAACCCCTTGAGGTTGGCTACTACAACTGCCCTAAAACTGTATACTCAACCCCTCTGCACAGGGTGCAGAAGAGGGTGTGGTCGTTAACCACGCATGGCGGTTGTCTAGCGCCGAGAAGGTAACCCCTTAGCGAGTTTGTCAGCCGACACTTGAGTGTCGAACACGACCCTCGAGCTTACCAAGGGCCGAGCAGTTACGAGTACCACGTAGTACCCCATCAACACGAATGCTCGCATATGCACGCATGGCTGGTCGATATGAGGAGGTCATGCGCGCTCGCACGACTCTTATATGAAAGTCCGGCGCGCGATACCTATCTGATTCTCGCGGCATAAAGTTATGGGTCGGATATTGAAGGGACTAGGAGTGTTGTGATGTTGTGTTTGTTTTGTATTTTCCACGTGTTATGTGAAGGTGAGTGTTGTGGTGTAATGCGTGGATGCATCCTAGTCGACCGACGACGAGTCGCGTTTGGGACGTCAGCCCCCCAGAACGTCGATTCGCGCGCGGGTCTGATTTCGGGCATTCGACCGCGCGTAACCCCCTATGCTACAACGAACGAGAAACGCCCTTGGCTGGGCCACCTCTGCAATTGCATACGAAAAGCTTTCGCATGTGGTTCAGTAGCTCGGCAGGGATACGCCCACCTAAGAGATGCTGACAACTCCCACGTGTGGAGGTAAGCGGTGCCTCGCGTGACCCTGTCCTGTCGTAGGGGCTCGCGAGAGGTACGGCTGGCGCACTCGGCCGGAGCGGCAAACGCTCTCCGCGACAAGTCCTGCATAATCGTGCGTGACGCGACCGGGAGTGTCCCCGTGCGGGACCGATGCGCTCGACAGGTGGCGTCATTGCCGGGGATCTCGGCTGCCTACCGGGGTCCTTAAGAGAACGAACCCAGGTTAAGTGCAGGCTGATGATCTAGGCAAAACGACAAAAGCTTATGGTTTGGATTGTTTTATATAAGAGGATTGTATATGAGGTAATAATAAGACTAAGCGATTAGAAGTGCGGCTCAAGGTTGTGTCTGAGGTTTCGATTAACTAATAGTAGAGTGATTGGTTGGACCTAGAGGTGGAATGGCTAGATAGGACTTAGGACAAGTCCCCTGGAACTTGACAAACTGTCTGATGGGCTACCTTTCTTCCTAACAGGTTGGTTAGCCAAGGGAGGTAAGGATGTCGGACGCAGATGGGATTGGGTGGGGCCCGGCCGCTACGCCGGAAGACATTGTAAAGGCCCTCGAGAAAAGGGAGTTGGCACGGCTACAAGTGTCGAAGGTTGACATCTTCCTGTTTGAAGGGGAGAGGGTGTCTAAGTGGTTGAAGCTGCTGGAACAAGTTACAGTCGAGGTACCTGAGGCAGATAAGTTCAAGTTCCTACCCTGATATATCTGGTGGGAAATCCGGCCCCAGATAATGAAGGTGGTTGCTGGAGCAGGGCGAGATTGGGCCAAGTTCAAAGGAGAGATGCAGAGGTGCTTCAAGCTAGGGGATGGTCTGCTAACGAAGACAGACCTGGAAATGTTGCAGAGAGATGAGTTCTCCACGGTGGGGGCTTTCGGGACAACATTCGAAAAGATGGGAAGAAAAGTCATAGGATTGGCTGAAGAAGAAGAGTGCGCAATCTTCCTGGGGCACTTCAAGAATTGGGAGGCTTCTGCACTGACCAAGAAGGTTGCACCAGGGAAGAAGTTGACTTAGGCAGCCATAAAAGAAGGCGTGTTAGGGGGAGCGTTGGACCAAGTTCACATCTTCCAAATGCGACAGGCTAGGAAGAAGAGGAAGGCCTTGGATGCCAAGGCGAGTGACGAGCGAGACTTTAAGAAAATGGTAGAGGATGCTGTTGCCCAACTCGATGCGGAAAAAGAGGCAAAGGCAGCCAGAAAGGTTATGGCGGCACCGCAGACCCAGGGAATAGCGAAGAAGGCGGTGGTGCAAGAGGAGGAAGAAGAGGAAGAAGAGGAGCCCAAACCTCCAAAGTAAACGAAGACTCAAAGAAAGGCAAAAAATTTGACTTAAGGGGGGCAAGGCTCAGGAAGGGGTCAGGTCCCGCAAGCGACAGCGCTGCCACCCCCTGAGTCGCCCAGTCAGACCGCGCCAGCGCCCTATGGGCCGTGGCCGGGTTATGGACCTCCAAGTCCTTGGCCTGGGCACTGCTCATACGTACCATGGCCGGTGAGTGGACCCCACGGATCATGCACAGGAGCGCCACTAAGCACGGCTTCCTGCGGGTATCCAGGACCCCAATCGCAACAGGTAAGTCATCCGAGCCCGCAGCCAAGCCAACCTCAGCAGTCGGCCCCACAAGGATCGCAAGGAAACCAAGGCGGTGGACGTGGACAGAATCAAGGATGGGGCCGAGGGTGAGGCAATGGTGGCCGCGGAGGGAATGGAAGGAGAAATGGTGGTGGTGATTTCACAGGTGGAGGAAATGGGGACCGGAACGCGTTAGGGAGTCAGGGCAGTCAGGAAGGTGGAACAGGCTTTGGCAGGGGGAGCATAGATTGGAGGAATGTCATTTGCTGGCATTGCGAGCAGAAAGGTTATACCATCAAGTTCTGCCATGTTCGAAGGAACGATGAGGATGAAGGTCTAATCAGCACCAATTACGATGGGGATATGTATGACAAGTTTGGGTACTACCTTGACCCAAAGATCCCGGGCGGTACGAGGAAGGAAGCCCTACGAAGGGCGGAGGTCGGTACGCCACCCGCTCCTCCGGCTATGTTCCGGATGTGGCAAGAGAAAGAGGTCCGCTGCGACATCAGGGTGGAAGAAGTAGGAGAGAATGAGGAAGTGGAGCAAGGAAGGAAAGTCGGCACCATCAAGGAAAAGTCGATTATAGTGGAATCGGATGATGAGATAGAGAAGGACTGCTGGAACGAGCCACGACACGCGAAGGCAGGGGAGGACTGCTGGAGAGAGGCCCGACAAACGATGGAGAGAATGGAGGACTAAGTGGCCAAAGTAGGGCGGTACCAGCAGAAACTAACCGATATGTGTGAGAAGGTTGAGGAGTGGAGACACTGGAGAGGTGAGGAGCCACTGGTGTACCTCTACGACATGGGTCCAGGAGCACAAGGTGGGTCTGGGAACCTACCAGGCGTCACGATTTCAGGGCCGGCACCTCGGTCCGGCATGGCTTATAGGCCACCCTCCAGAACAGGGAGAGCACCGCATGCTGTCAGAACGAGGGTCAAGGGGCCAGTGAGCCCCGAGGAACCGGCAAAGGATGTTCCTGAGCCCAATGGGGAGAAAGAGGTGGTAGATTTCCCAGAAGGAGAGGATGATGAGGACGATAGGCTGAGAAAAGAAGAGGACGAGAAGGTCGAGCAAAGGGTCAATAAGAGGGGTGTCAAACCTGACACAGACAAGGCCTCAGAAGTAAAGAAAAAGAAGTATGTTGTCTGAGTAGAGGAGGGGTTTGACGTAGAGGAGATCATGGACAGGATCCTTGAAGGTCATAACCACCTTATGAACCTGAAGGACGTCCTGGCTTCGGCGCCAAGGCTCAGGGATGAGCTGAAAGCGCGATTGTCTAGAAAGGGCTGAGACAGGTACCAAGATGGATTGGAAGTCGGCCTCATGTGGGTGCCTAGATGTAGTGGTGAGGGGAAAGACATGTACTGCGATGGTGAATAGTGGCGCGGAGATGAACCTTATAAAGGAGGAGCATGATGTGCACCTAAGGGATGGTGACAGCTCCTGCAGGTGGAGGTAAGCGGTGCCTCGCATGACCCTGTCCTGTCGTAGGGGCTCGCGAGAGGTACGGTTGGCGCACTCGGCCGGAGCAGCAAACGCTCTCCGCGACAAGTCCTGCATAATCCTGCGTGACGCGGCCAGGAGGGTACCCGTGCGGGACCGGTGCGCTCGACACCGCTGCCCCGCTGCCCAGCTGCCCTGCTCTTCTGCTGCTGCAAGCATAGCTGCCTCCGCTGCAGCCATCGCTGGGAGTTGCTCCTCAACCCGTCCTAAAGGTGAGCCTCCGCTTCCTACTTTTCCTCCTCCTCCTCGGCTTCTACCTCATCCCTCCTCCTCCTCCTCCTCCTTCTCCTCCTCCTCCTCCTCCTCCTCCTCCTCCTCCTCTTCCTCTTCCTCTTCCTCCTCGTCTTCCTCCTCCTCCTCCTCCTCTTCCTCCTCCTCTTCCTCCTCCACCTCTTCCTCCTCGTTGCCCCCCTGCTTGCTAACCCACTGCCCGCTGCGCCGCTGCCCCACTGCCCGGCTGCTCCAGGGATAGCCACCTGCACTGGAGCCATCATCGGGAGCTGCTCGTCTACCCATCGCTAAGGTGAGCGTCCTCCTCATTCACCTCTTCCTCCTCCTCCTCCTCCTCCTCCTCCTCTTTCTCCTCCTCCTTTCCTCTTCCTCCTCTTCCTCCTCCATCGACTTTTTCTCCTCCTCCTCTCCATCCTCCTCTTCCTCCTCCTTCTTAAACTCCTCTTCTAATTTCATCGCCTCCTCCTCTTACTCCTCGTTATACTCCGCCTGCCCCTCCTCTTCCTCTTCCTCCTCCCCTTCCACCTCCTTCTCTTCTTTCACCTCCATCGCCTCCTTCTCCTTCTCTTTGTCCTCCTCCATCGCCTCTTCCTTCCTCCTCCTCCGCCTCAGCCTCGTCCTCGTCATCCTTATAACAACGGGAGTAACTATGACAGTCTGAAGCCAGTAAATGGCTCGTCGTCTAATCAGTCACAGTCGTGAAATGACTAACGAGATTCCTTTTTTTTTTCAATCAATCAAGATCTGTCAAGTTCGACGAAACTTTCCATCGAAATCGACGGAATCCGATCTTGAATTAATGAATAGCTGATTGATTGATTGATTGATTGATTGATTGATTGATTGATTGATTGATTGATTGATTGATTCATTGATTGACAAATTGATTGATACATTGATTGATTGATTGATTCATTGATTGATACATTGATTGATTGATTGATTGATTGATTGATTGATTGATTGATTGATTGATTGGTTGAACGTATACAACCGAGCTTTAGGGTTGGGTGGGGATGTATTGTATTCGAGGGATGAGTGAAATGCAGTTTAGTTTGAAAATGCGCCTCACGAGGAGGAGGAGGATACGGAGGAGAAGGACAAAGAGGCGATGGAGGATGAGAAAGAGGAAGAGGAGGAAGAGGAGGAAGGAGAGGTGGAAGACGAGGAGGAAGACGAGGAGGAGGAAGAGGAGGAGGAAGAGGAGGGGGCGGACGAGGAAGAGGAGGAGAAGGAGTAGGAGGAAGAGGAGAAAGAGAAGGAGGATGACAAGAGGGAGGAGGACGAAGAAGAGAAGGAGGAGGAGAGTAGGAGGGAGAAGGAGGATAGGGAGGAGGGAGGAGGAGGACAGAGAGGAAGGAGGAGGAGGACAGGGAGGAGAGAGGAGGAGGACAGGGAGGAGGAGGAGGACAAAAGGGGGATCGGGGGGGGGGAGGAAGGGCACCGAGTTAGGGGACAGAGAGGCAGGTTGTCTCGCCTCAACCCCCTCTCACCCCCCGCCCAGCTCCCTACCCCACTTTTTCTTTTTTTTCCTAAATCAATCAATCAATCAATCAAACAAACAGAAAAACAAAATCGTTATCCAATCGAAGGGGGGACACTATAATGGATATTCAATGTGTTTTTCGCAGAAACTCTCATATTTGAACATGTGGCATTCCTATGTACACTCGCGTGCACGTAAAAAAAAAATAATAATAAAAATAAAAATAAAAATAAATAAATAAATAAATAAGTGGACATTTTCGAGTTTATCCAGAATTCTTGATAATCCATATGCTGGATAAAGCAGCCGGATATTCCGGTAATTTAATCCGGCCGGAAATGATAAATAACTTACTATAAATCTAGGCTACCAGTCGGGCCGCCCTATTTTCCTGGGCGGCCTGGCCGTGCAAGGACTAGGCAAGGTCCCAGCCAAAACAAAAAAAAATCCAAAAAATCCGAAACAAAAACTGTGTTATGCCAAAAAAAAAACGATTAACTTTTGCCTCAGGGTCACATCGAAATTCTTTACCAAATTTAAAATAAAAAAAATAATTAAAAAAATATTTAATTTTTTTTTTTTTCATTTTGGCCCGGTCGGGCAAGTGGACCCAGACCACTCTAGTAGCCAATGTATAAAATATATATATATATATATATATATATATATATATATATATATATATATATATATATATATATATTGTAAGCGTGGTAGTTCATATTGATAAAATAAGAGTGACCCTCTGAATTAAATAGAGCTTGTAGTGAAGAGAACAATTTTTAAAGGAAACGCGACAACTTATCCAAAACCCTTTTCTCAAACAAAAGTTTATTGGATCGTGACGATCGTCTAAATAACGGACTAGAAGGTAGTGATTTGCCTGTGCCATGTTAATATTACTAATGTAATAGCATTTAAGTGATTAATCCACATCTATCTTCAAGTTGATGTTTATATGGATATGAAAGAAATGAGACTGTTGATTGTACTGAGCACTCCATTCTAAAAATGAGAGAGGGTAGAAAACCTGCAGCGTAAAAATTCGACCATTTAAATTGTGAAAACATTCAAATCCTAACCGTGCGTAATTTTCAAACTATGGCGCGTACTACAACATAAAAATTCCCACGAGAAATGAAAGCTGAAAAAATATTTTGTAAAAAACAATCCTTCATATTTAAAAATTATCATTTCAATATTCGTCCACTTATAAAATTTCTAGTTTTATTTGATAAGTTCTCGCTTTAATATGAGTTTTTCCTTCCAACTACCTCATTTGGTTCAAGATGGAATGAAAATCTGGATGAGTTTATAAAATGCCTTAATTAAACTTTCATTCTACTACAACAAATTTCTTCTAATTTAGATTGGATTAACCTATTGATGATTGAAAATCTTTACCTAGAATAAAAATTCAATTAAAATATTTCATGAACTCATCCAGACTTTTTTTCCATCTCTAGCATGCAGTTCAGATAAGAAGGGATACCCCATTCTTGGAATGAAAGTTTTCAAGGCCGACGAAAAATTTTGAAATTGGAATAAAATTTTTTAAGATGGAATGAATATTTAAAACTTATAAGTTAGAATGCAATTTTACTATAGTATAGAATGATTTTTAAATTCAGAGAATTTTTTATTTTGTAAGTTGGTGACATATATATATTTGTTTTTAAATATGAGTGAACCCTAGAGGTTTGAAATGCATTCAGAAAGAAAGACCAAGGTTAAGTTGTCCAAGATCTGGAGGTAATCATTCTGTCGACTGAATAATTCACTTTTCTCCTTTTATTATAAGTCACTACCTCTTTCAACTTGGTCGATCGTTGTTTTGGCATGTCGCTTAGATAGGATTCTTATGTAAAAGAGGTGGCGAAGTTGTTGTTTGTGATGACAAAACATACCTTGAGTACTGCTCATTCATGTAAGATTACTGTAATGTTTTCAAGGTGGCAGGTGCGGTTGTTTGTAAAGATGTAATGGGGTAGGAAATAGTGATATCGAAGGTTCTACAGACATCCTTCTCTATTTCTTTTAATGAGAAAGTACGTGATAGATTAGGTTTAGCGAAGCTTATTCAAAAATTCATAGTATAGATAATCTCTTGCTCAAAGAAGCAAAAGGTGAGGGAATAAGTTAGGTTTTTTTTTTTTTTTTTAATAGTAAGGATAAACCTTCTAGTGAGAAAAAACATACACCTAAATTAGAATAAGCAACAATTTAAAAGTGTAGATTTTGAAGGTTGGTATAAAAGTTTTATCCAAATAATTTCAACCCTATTTTTATTTATGTATTTATTTATTTATTTATTTATTTATTTTATATTTATTTATTTAGGTGAACAAATACAAAAGAAAACCGTTGAAAAGTATTTGATTAGCAAAATTGTAAAACAAGCAAGTGAGATATGTCAACAGATTAGCCAGATTTTAGCAAATGACCCAACTTTAGATGTTTCACTTTTTTTTTTTTTTTTGCAAAAGATTAAATAGGACAGATAAACCCTTTAGTATGAGCTGCACATTAACTCCATTATGAAACTTAACCTTACCTCTGAACCGATTTGATTAGAGAAGGTGCGTTTTTGTTGAAGTTCTCAAAAAAAATGACAGATCTGAAAGTGGTGAGGAAGTAGAGTGAAAACTGAAAATGCGGGATTTTTACTTTTGGTAAAACGTTTTTAACCCTTCGATTCCCATGAAAACATTCCTTCCCTTTTTTTTTTTTTTTTTTTGCATGGTTAGAGTCCTTAAATGCGAAAGACCACCATGCGAGGGCAATTGGTTTGCTGAATTGTGCAACAAACATGTTAAAGTAAACCAACAAACTTCCAGCGGATGAACCATCTTTCGATATATTTTTTTATTTTATTTTTTTACGGAGAGATTTAAACAAGACAGATAAATTGAGCGGAAAGCATTGCGACATCAACAGAGATCCTTGGTTTACTAAATCATGCAAAGAAAGGAGACACAATAAAACACATAAAATGTGCAATATGCAATTCACTACTTAAATCCTTTTAGGAGATTCAAACTTCCATTTTTAGACCAAAGTTTTGAGAGGAGTTGTAAATTAAGCAAAGTAGTTGCTAGTGAATGGGTAGACACAGGAATGAGTAGGGTATAGTATCAGACATCGAGATCGTATAGATTGCCTTGCAGGTAGTTTTTTGACATGTTCTCTTTCACATTCTCTTTTCCTTCTTCCTTTTTTTTTATCGTGCTGAGATAGTTGGTTTGGTCGTGAAGTTCAATAAAGGTCAGAGGATAACCAAGATTTAGAGGGTCATTCATTTCAATATGGTCAAGCTAAGAAGTAAGTTTATTACCTTATTACTTATTTCCTTCATAAGCGGATGAAAGAAGTCGGAGAAAAGCTTCGAAGGGATTAGGTTGGTCAAGTGTAAGGTGGATAAGTAATCTCAGTCATAAGATTAAACAGGTGATTTTTCACAAAAGGTTTTGATTATTAAGGTTGAAATGCTTAAAAAGCAGATGATAAGCGATCGGAATATTAAAGAACCTAAGATGAAAAGCATAATTACTGAAGCCGGTAAGAAGTCACAACTCGTATATAAAGTAAAAGATTCGTAACCCTTCTACGAGTTTTTTCTCCTTCTTTTAATTTTTGCTTTCTCCACATCCCTCCCGTCTTTTTATTTTTTTTAAATGAAAAAATAGTACAAGAGGCCAAAAAACCTGAGAGTTAGTAAATAACAGGCCGGAAAGCAAAGCCGGGGTCAAAAAATAACTACGAAAGTCTCTAAGTGGTGTCAAGAAACAAATCACAGTATTTAAACAAGAGACTAGATTGGTTGTCTATTTTACGGTTGTAGTTTTAAGGCTTTAGTTAAAGCAAATTTTCGCCTAAGCTCTATGTACACTTACTCTTATTATTTAATACAGCAAAGTGCATGGGCTACTTGGTAGTTCTGGTTCCAATGCACTATTTTAGTCACGAAATAACAAAATCTGAAGTAACTATTCTTACACGAAGAGAGGGGCGACGATGGGGGTAATGGTTGACGTTAGTTAGATCGTTCGGGTAAAAGAGAACTAAGATGGTGAGTATATTGGAAAGCACGATTACTAAATCTTCTAAATATGTATTCAAATTTGGGACTATAATTCGCAGAATCACAAAATCTGCAAAACAGATCGAGTCCTTCTGTAATGAGGA